TTCATTATTCTTAAATTCATCATTCAATTGTTTCTCTTTACATTAAATAATCAATATAATGTGTATTTAATATTATTGAATTACTCTATACATCATTTGTTCATTTGTTAGTGAATTGATTGTATTGTTATTATGTAATGATGATATAAGTTAATAAATTATCATAACTCATATTCCATCATTGTACAAATTATAATTGAAATCATTGGCATTAATGATGATTGATTCTCTTTCTATCTTCTTATGAATTGAATTTCATTAAAGATAAAGAAAAATAATATTCTGATCTAAAAATACATAAAAAAAAAATAAAAAGAAATAGTAATAAACAATAGTAAAATACTATAATAAATATAGTTTTGATAATAGTTTAATTTTTAATAAAATAAACTATTTTGAGTATTATTTAATTAAAATACTCAAGATTCATAACTTAAAACTATTTCAACTTTAAATCAAGAATGGAACATACAACAACATCAACCAATATCAATAATAAATCAAGAATGAAATTAGGATATAATGAAATAATGATTGCATCAATGTATTTTAATGATATTAATGATTTTATTAATTTAGAAATAGGAATTAAAAGATTTCAAGGAAATATGGAACGATTTCATTTTAATCCAATTCCATTAAATGAATATTCAAGAAAATTATTTACTAATATTGAAACATTTCATATTTATAATTATAATGATAAAACATTTAATGATGGAAGAATATTTAAACAAGTAACATGGTATTTAGTTGATTATTCAATATATTTATTCAAAAAAGAAAAAGGAAATATATGTAAAAATATAGAATATACAAAATATGATAGAAAATCATATGGGAATACAATACCATCAGAAGTTAAATCACTTGGATATGAATGTTTTAAAGATTGTTATGAACTAACAACAATTAATATACCAACATCAATTATTAAATTAGGAAAGTATTGTTTTTATAAATGTTCATCATTAAAATCAATTAATATACCATCATCAGTTAGTAAAATAGAAGATTATTGTTTTAACGATTGTTATTTACTAACATCAATTAATATACCATCATCAGTTCGTAAAATAGGAGATGATTGTTTTTTTGAATGTTCATCATTAACATCTATGAATATAGATTGTCTACAGTTTGTGAGTAAAAAAAGAATATTTATGAATGAAGCAGTGTTAGTTAGTATTTCAATACCAGAAAATCTAGAAATAATCAATGGAAAGAATATTTTCAAGAAAGATATTAATGAATTTATTATTCCGTCTTCAATTAGTAAATTAGGAGATTTGTGTTTTCACAAATGTTGGTCATTGATATCAATTAATATACCAACAACAATTAGTAAAATAGGAGATTATTGTTTTAATGGATGTACATCATTAACATCAATTAACATACCAACAGTAACTTGTAAAATAGGAAATAGATGTTTTGAAGGATGTTCATCATTAATATCAATTGATATACCATCATCAATTAGTGAATTAGGAGATAAATGTTTTTATGAATGTAGATCATTAACATCAATTAATATTCCAACACCAATTACTAAATTAGGAGATTGTTGTCTTAATAATTGTTATTCATTAGAATCAATTAATTTATCATCATCAGTTATTGAATTAGGAAATTATTGTTTTAATGGATGTACATCATTAACATCAATTAATATACCATCATCAATTACTTCATTTGGATATAGATGTTTTTATGGATGTGGATGTGAAGAAGAATTAAAACAAAATAAAAGAATACCAAGCTATTGTTTTGAATAGTGATATGAATGAAATAAAAATACAATAAATGAAATACAATATAATTTGAAGTAGAAATAAATTATAATTGATTATCATTTATATTATTACTCTTTTCTTATTTATTCTTTTTGATATTGGTGTATTATCATTTAGAATATGTTATTAACACAATCTAATAATTAACAGTTAAAAGTATAGTATTAATGATTTATGATAGATTATTTATAAAATAGTTAATTATGTATTGAAATCAATACTATCAATATTGTCTAACATCTTACAAAATATGTTTATTATGATGGAAACAATGTTATATAATATCAATCTTATTCTTTATTTCAATGTTTTTGAATTATTTAATCATTTCATTTTTAATTCTTTTATTAATTTAATCTTCTCTACATGCACTAACACACTGATAGAAATAACTACTTAGATTAATGTTTATCACTTTTGTTATACTTTCTATTTGTTCATTTCTTATTTTCTTATTTAACATTACATTTAATCAATTATTTCAATTTCATTCATTTATTATTTTATTTCTTTGTTTTCTTGTATTTTTCTTTATTTATTATTTATAATCTTGAGGGTTCGAAGGTAGCACGTCAGAGACACCACACACTCCACTAAAATATTTCCATCCTTCGAATTACTCATGAGGACTGGTTATAATGTTGTATGTAGTTAGAAAAACATCTTACCCAGTATTAAAAGAATAGCAGTGTTTATTAATTACAATGATAGATATCATTGATAATAAACGAATGGGTATTTATAAAGATGGTATTGTTACTTGTTAGAATACAAGTATAATTGATAATATAAGATTATCAAAGGAAAAGGGTCTTGTGGTTGATTCTAAAAAGAATATTAGCCAATAGCAATACAGTAATAATTGTATATTCTCCTTAAAATAATAAAATGAAGAAAAAATTTAAACCCATCAAAATTAAAAAGAAATTAAATAATGAATATTTAAATAATGGATATTTAAAATACTCTATTCCACATCAAAAATGAGAAAAGAAAATTCTCACAGTTCAACAACTAGAAGCAAAGAATAAGCCAAAAGTTAATGAACAAATACTTTTAAAGCAAAAGGATTAGTTAATCTCCAGTGAACAATGAACAATATAAAATATTTCTATTAATACTTAATTAACTAATTTCTATTAATTTTATTTATTATTTCTTTTATATATTTTATTTATTATTATATCATTTCTTTTCTCTTATTATTTCTTTATTATTCATTTGATTTTCTATCTTATATCTATATCATATGAAATTAATACTTATTATTTATTATTTATTACATATTATATACTAATCATATAACATCTATAACTGATTATATAATAAACATTGATAATAAATTATATATATAAATAAAAATTATAAAAATAAAAATGAATAAAATAAATTGCATAAATAAAATAATGTTAATTATTTTGTATCAATAAATTAAACACTTTTTATTGCATATTTCTAATTTCTGTAATAAAAAATACATCCATTATTTCATCATTATTTTCACCTTTTATTATCTCTTTTTGAATTATTCATTTTTATCTTCTTTCATTTTATAATCTCAACATTCTACTTTTATTCTTTTCATCTTCTTCTACTTCCTAATTTCACTTTTTTCTTTCATGCCCTTCTTTTTCATCATCTCTCTTCATTTTTCTCTTATTTCCTTTTTTCGTGGCAGGTAAATGACCAACAATAATACAAGAAGTTAAAGAAGATATTAAAGAAATTATTGAAAACATGGAAACAGGAAGCAAAAGAAAGAATAACAATCGAAGAAGTAGTAAGAATGTTAGAAAGAATTGAAAATAAAGAATGAAAATGGTTTTAGAAATTCAAATATTATTCTTATTTCATTCCATTCATTTCAAATAAATAACCAAATTTAATGTATTAAAGATAATGATAACAATAATAAAAGAATAAAATAAGATACAAATAAGAATTAAACAAAATTAATATACATTCAATATTTAATAAATCTAAAACAAGAATTTAATAATAATTTAGAATCGTTTTTATTCTTTCAAAGATTAATGAATAAAGAAATGAAAGAAAGAAAGAAAGAATACTAAAAAGAGTTACAAAAGAGAGAAAATGATTTGATTGATGAGTTGTTTCAATTTAATCTACTCTATAAAGAAAAGATAATTAATTGATTTAAGAAATAAATGTCTATTCAATGTATCATCATATTTTATTGTTTTATTGATACTTTGATTGGATGGTTCAGATATAAAATATTTCATAAATAAGAAATAAATACTAATGATGAATAATAACATAAATACAACTAGAGTTATTACTTTATTTCAATTATTTATAAAAGAAATAAAGTAACAAAGAAATTAAAATATAAGAAAGAATAAGAGTTGATGAAAAGATAATAAAATGAAGGTTATTTTATTTTCTTAATTTCTTTGATTAAAAATATTAATCAATTAGAAATATTATTTCTTCATATCATTTATTAATATTTCAGTTGTTTACAATAACAATTATACTAAATTAATAAATTGAAAATGAAAACTATTATTTATTTGTTTGTTTGTTTACATAAAATATTCCAGTAATAATAAAATTAACATGTTGATTAAATAATTAATATACTCATAATTCTAATAAGAGATTATTTATTGATTTATTATCTAATTTATCTGTTGAACTATTTTCTGAATGAACATTGAAAGTATTTTCTAAATGTCCTTTTGTTCTTTTATTAAAATGATTTAATGGTTATTATTTCATTGATTCTTATTTTTCTAGGTGTTTATTCTTATTATTTATTGTTGATTGTTTATCAAACGTATTTTTGATTTAATTCTTATTTTCATTTATCATGTTCATTATTCACATGACCACACTCTTATCATTTTTAATGTTAATTTTTCATTTCTTCATATATCATTAGAATAATATTTTCATAATATTTC